CATTCGCCTCGAAATACCATTCGTTGAGCAAGGACCAACAGAAATCAAGTTATAGGAAAAACGACTTTCTTAGGGTAAATCAAGGCAAAGATTTCAAATCTGAGCTGTATTCATCCCCAAATCGTATTGATTGAGAGTAGCCAATAGAAATCAAGTATTTTATAGAAAAGGTTTGCCAGGATAATTTTCATGTCCACACATTCTAGGATGACTCATCTATCTCATTCACTTTTTGAAGTACACATAACTCTCGGATTTAAATCCGAGGTTTTCGCATTTATTTGGAGTTATGATCGTTACACTGAATTGTTTACCGTTAGCACGTTATTTATAAAAAAGAAAAAACCTAAACGAACCTAAAACTTTGCTCATTGAGACAGTTCTTGAAGTAATTAGAATCTCTTAGAAATTTCAGCTAAAAAGAATCATCTCTTTTCGAGATATCAGATTCAGAAAAAAAACGAAATTTTCCTCTGAAATATCACGACTTCTTGTAGATTTGATATTAGGCTAAAATTTGTTTGTCCGATTTTTTTTTTATACCGTGCCAAAGATAAAAATTTGAATTTAACGACCATAACTCCAAAAAAGCAGCGCATAAGAAAAATCTTTCTTGGTTTCTTCTTTTTTTTCAACAGACTCTACGTAATGACTGGGGTATCGCTGGATTAACATTTAATCAGAGACAAACACGTTTATCACTAAATCATATTAATAATATATTATTTATTCACTCATATGAGAAATTCATAAAAACAAAAACTTATCTTTTTTCATTGTCCATACTTGAATCTTTATATTTGTTTTATTATTATGCGTTTCGTTTCTGTTGAAAAACATCTAATAAGATTTATTAATATGACTTTTGACATTGTACCTCTTGTTTAGAAAAGTTTTACGCTTGTAAAAAAAACGCAATGAAAGGATTGCCCTGCAGGTCGAACATAAGGCTGTCATTTGTTCTGTGAGGACGAACTTTTTGATGACCTATCTTGTGTTCTCTACAACAGGATGACTGAGTGATAATGTTCTGTTGGATGCAGAACAGGATGAACATTGATTTAAAGCAATTGATATTGAAACTTTGATATCCGGCATACTTTTATTTTGTCCTTGGGCAAGGCACACATTTTTGTTGAACATCTAAGAGAAAAATAAAATTTTCTCTTAACTCCTAAACGAATGCTGTACATGAGTTGAAATTTCATGATGGAAAACATTCATAAAAAGTACTAGAGCTTTACTACCAACGATACAACGATTGTGAATCGTATCTTTTAATATAAAATAAAGAGTTTATGGTTAGAAAAAAATTGACGTAGATATATTTGAATAGTACAAGCATGGACGCTTATAATATAAATAAAAAATTAATATGAAGATACAAAGTATTGACAGACTATCGGAGTTTCTTCAAATACATTCTTGAATAATATTTTTTAATAAGTGGTTCAATATTTCGTCAACCATATTTATGAGTTCACGTTGTGACTTTTGAATTCTTATTTCAAACTAGTTCGATAGTATTAAAATAAGGACTATAATTTGGCCATTGAGATAATGATTTCTATAGAGCTCATTCAATTGTATAGCATCTCTTATTTGACATGGTATAGAAAAACTTGTGAAAAGCATTTGATTTTCGTTGCTGTCTTTAATACACAGCACACTGCTGAAATGTCTTTCGTCTGAAAGTAAAAAGAACTTTTAGGGAAAACTTTTATTCCAAACTTATCGATTTTCAATGTCACACTTTTTAGAGACACGTCAATGAAACAAAATAATATATTTTTGTAGCAATCTGTGGTTCATCAAATTCTCTATCACCTACATAGCATTAGTTGTGAAAAAGTTTTCGAATGTCATCTTCTATGAAATACTAAAATCACGAGTGATGCAGATTTTCCTTTCCGTTTGTCAAAGATGTGGAATTCGATCAAGCTGAAATTTTTTTCACAGATACTAGATACTATTTGGGCTGAATATGCTTGAAGCTATCCTAAAAAACATAATGGTTTTTTTTTAACAGAGCTTTTTTTGTAAGAGCTACCAAAAAATTAGCGAAACATTTTTTTTTTTATTAATGAAAAGTTGGTTCGAGAAAAACACGAGACAATGTATAGTCTTCGCTATTTGCATTACGTAAAGTACTCTGTCGGATTAGATGATCTGTTCAAAACTGAGAAAACAAATATACCATGTTGTAGAGAAATTCGATGTACGTCGAATGTCATATACGAAATCCTATTTTTATAAGATTTTGAAAGAATTAAAGTCAATTAACAAATTTTTCTTCTCGGTAGTTTTCTAGAGCTTTTCACAGACTACAAGCTCATATATTTAACATCTTCGATCATTCTATTTTTTTTTTTATTGAAAGTCATGCAGTATTTCAATGATTTACTACTGTTTTTTCACTAATGGTGAGTCTTGGTGTCTTCAATAGTGTCAATCAAAGACAATGTGATCAGACTTCAAACTTTCTCGGAAATTGGCCACGATATAGCACTAAAAAACATATTATTTGGAAGGCCTACAAGATGAATGTGTGATGCCCAAAATATCCTTGCATTGAGAAATTTTAAACTAAATTCTACACTAATTTTATTCTTTTAATACTGTATTTTGACTATCAAAGGCCGGTTCTAATACGAAATAAACATGATATTCGGGATTATTCCACCAAAATTCGACTCATGTGTGACCACAGGCCGAAATTCAGGAAAAACTGACTGAGAGAAAGTACCAGTCGAATTTCGAGGAGAAAATATTTACTTAAAACATAAGCAATTCAATGCAGTGTGTTATGTTGATTTCAAATATCATATTTATTTTGTACTGAAATCGACTTTTGATAGTCAAAATAGAATATCAAAAGAACAAAATTGATAAAAAAAAAATTAGCCAAGATTTCTCAATGGAAAGATATTTTGAGCATCACATACTCATCTTCTAGAACTTCTAAATAGTATATTTTTTAATGTTACATCACGACCAATTTTGCGAGAAATTTTTGTGTCTGGTTACATCTTCTATGGTCGATACTATGGAAAATATCGAATCTCATCACTAATGAAAAACTGATAAATCACATTCTTTCCTATCAAAAATAAACGAACAATTTCGACTGACATCAAATAACGCAATGGCCAGCAACTGATCATACTTTGCGTGCATAGACGTCTATCAGTAAATTGACTGTAGTTCCTCTAAAGTCTTATGAAAATAAGACTTACAATTACACTATTCCGCACGCATCAACTTGCTCTATTTGGTTTCTCACCTCTGTAGAGATAGATACTATTTCAAACTATACAATGACTACACGAAACCGAAAATCATGAGTCACGAAAGAGAAAGGAGTATCCTTAAAAAGATCCTATTCTTTATAAATATTCAAACAAGATATGAGATTTTTTTTTTTAAACTAATATAATTTCTTATTTAGATCAAGAAGAACGTTTCTATGCGTTAGAAAAATTTCTTAAAGGTGAAAAAGATGTTCTTTGTGCAACTGATGTTGCATCAAAAGGTTTAGATTTTCCTGACATACAACATGTTATTAATTATGATTTACCAGAAGATATTGAAAATTATGGTAAAGAATTTTTGTTTTTTTTCTATTATATATTAATTCATTTTTTGTTTTTAAATAGTTCATCGAATTGGTCGAACAGGTCGTTGTGGACGACAAGGTCTTGCAACAACTTTTATTAATAAAACATGTGGTAAATAATAAAAATCTACATTTGTATCTTTTTGATTTATAATTTATTTTCATAGATGAAGCTATTCTACTTGATCTTAAACATCTATTAATCGAAGCTAAACAAATTGTTCCATCATTGTTACTTAAACTTGAATCTGATAAAGGGCGTTTACTTGACATTGGCGGTAAGATTTTTTTTTCTTTTGAAATTTTTATTTCAAAATTCTTTTCTTTAGATGAACCTGGTTGTTCATATTGTAATGGTCTTGGTCATCGTATAACAAATTGTCCTAAACTCGAGTCTCAACATAATAAGACAGCAAATAATATGAAAAAGAATGATTTTTTGGCAAAAGGAAATTCAGATTGGTGATCAGTTTTTTTTTGTATTTAATAAAAATATATAAACATACATTTGTGCACAAAAAAATATATGTTTTAATAAAATAAAATAATTATTCTAGATAAAAAAAAAAAAAAGAAAATGTCGAAAGAATCTATTCCTCAACATAATGCTCGAGTTCTTGAAGAAGAACGAAAATGTGTGACTAATAATCTTGCTGAACAAGACAAAATTCGTCGTTGTGATGCCGAAGTATCAACAACAGCACTTAAACATGAACAGCATATTAATGCAAAAGATCTTAAAGATGAAGCAAAATCTAATGCAGAAAAATTAAAATTATAAAAATACGAATTTATTTATTTTTTTCATAAATATTCCAGCTAGAATTCTTCGAGACAATTTTTTTTTTTAATCTTGTACCGAAAATTCTCGGAATAATCTCGAATGTCTTGTAGGATGATATTCGGAGACTATCCTGCAGAATTCTAATTCCAGCTCAATTTTTTTTCTTTTTTTTTTTTTATAAATATTCCAGCTGAATAATTTTCTTTTTGTTGTTGAATTGTCTATGCTTGAAATATATAAAATAAATGTTTAATATTAATTTCCTTATGAAATGTAAAGAATAATTCAATGATTTTAACCATGCGAAGAAAAAGGTTTTTTTCTTCTCTTCTTTGTAGTGATTTATACCGGAAAAACTAATGGATGGAAACGGAAAGACATTTTTGGAGAATATAAGATTATCTTCTTTCTTTCTTTTCGTTATTTCATTAGTTGTTATTTGACTAGTAGCTAAATCTTTATATCATTTATATCTTCAATAATATAGGTAAGTTAAATGTAATAGCCTGAAAGTCAATTGACAAAAACAAAAAGAAATAGAGTTGAAGATGATTGTCTTTTTCCGCTTCTATCGTCAGTTGCTAATACACATCATACTCAATTTTTACTTTTTCTTTTTCTCTTTCTGATTATGAGTCCAATTGTATTGTCATCAATCGGATCAGATCATATACGTTTCAATGAACACAATATATGACGAGAAAATAGAATGACGTTTCAATTTTCTATTTTTAACAAAAAAAAAAGAAAATCTAAAATCATTAATGAAATATTTCATCTGTTTATCACAATAAAAATCAATCAGATTTATAATATGTATATGGTTAGCGTTGATATTTTATTTTGATTATGATCTTTTTTTTCTTTTCTCTTTAAGTTTTGTCATCTCTTAACAATGATAAGTTCTTTGTAATTAGTCACTTCTTTTCTATTGATAGGCATAGCGCTAGCACGCAGAGACCCTGAAGGAATGCAATGCTAATTTTACTTTGATCATTTCAGCGGAATAACTGACGGTGACAGCGACAAGCAAGAGCAAAGCAAATTACATTGTGTTAACACCTCGTTTTGTCTTTCTTTCTCTCCCTCGCTTCTTTATCATCATCGAATAGTTGAGATTGCTTTTTCTTTATTTTTATCATAGGAAAATAGTTTCACAGGCGGATATCATCATGCTAGAATGATCATCAATATATAAGCACGAAACTTGTCTGTCGGTACTTGTGAACAAAGAATATATAGTCTTATATATATATATATATATACATGTGTAAGAGGCGTTAATCAAATAGAAATGAAGCTAATTATTATCTTTAGACCAAGTGGAAATAATAATTCCAACCTGCTGTGATTGATCGATGATATAGAATATATTCTTTCTTTTTTTTCTCTCTTTCCGATCATTTAAAATAAACTTGTTTATGGCGTCAAATTTTCAAGGGAGATGTATCATCTCTCTTTTACCTGCTGGTTATAATGATAATTTGTTGATATATTTATATACTTGTTGAGGAGTTTTTCTTGATTGGAGAAATAAAAAATAGAAAAAAAAAAAAGAATATTTGTATTTAATCATAAATAATGCAACGACCGTAAATAATAAGAACTTTCATGATTTCATGAAAAGCAAATTTTTAACAAGTATTAATATACATATATTTCTTTTGATAATAAATAAATTGAGAATAATTATTCGAGACTAAGCAATGGAAGATTTAGAGAAAGAGAAAGATTGTCCGTTCTCCCTTCCGAAAATTTTTTTTTAAACCGAACGACCTTTAAAACATGTTTTTATGACCATGATCATCATCATTGAGATTAAAGTACCTTAACATTGTACTTTTTTTTTCTCCATTTCATTTTAATTATATAATGAAATAAATTTTCTTCGAAATTATACACGCATCTATTCATAAGCGACAATAACAAACGGATTCTCGTTTTTTTTAATTAAAATTTTAGGCGTCTTATGTTATATGTTTTTCTTTTCTTGTTTCGTGTCCGAGAATAACAAGCAAAGAAACATCAATAATTTGATACCAACTTGCCAATGTTGCAAGATTTCTTCAAGCAGAAATTATGAGACGATAATGATTGTCCTTGTTTCTATGAGAATTGTCGTTGCTGTTGACCAATGTCCTTGTCTGTCTATATGTGTAATCAAGCATAGCTTTTCTTCTCTCTCTCTCTCTCGCTCTTGGTGGTCAGGAATAAATCATGATTTTGATTTCAATCAACAAGATATACGGAAAAAAATTCAGGTATAAGAAGAAACAAGAAAAAAAAAAAAAAAACATATATATATTGATGAACTAAAAATAACCAACCAATGATTAAACGACCCGAGAGGAAAAAGGAATCAGTCAACCAATCGTTAATTTGTTCTCTTCTTTCTTCGCCTACTTGATTGCAACAAAGTGCCTCGGTGTTGTCGTCTATAATATATGAAGAAAAAGAGAAGGTAGCCAGTCAAAAAAGGAGAACGAATATATTCATTAGAGCAGAAAAATAGACATACAGAGAGCGACGACAGAGAAAAAGACCGACAAACAATCGGATTTGCTGCCGGTGAACTCCCTTATGCCATTTTTTTTCTTCTCTATGTCGTCTCTGTCTCTCTCTCTCTCTCTTTCTTTCTTATCCTTTCCCGATCTATTTCTTTTTTTCTAGTCGTTATACGCTTGCCCGATTTTTCTTCAGTTTATGTGTTTTGTTTCGATGCTTTCAGTTGTAAGCGCATAAATCGAGCGTTCACACGAGGCTAACTAACCGAATCCGTGCGAGCGTTGTCCGCCCGCCCGCCTGTGTGTATGTGTGTGATCCGAAACAAGTTCCAACTCACTGAACTGTAAGTTGTTACTAATATTCTCGATCAGAAAAAAAGAAGACTGAGAAGAAGAAGAAGAAGAAGAAAGAGAAGAAAAGAATGTATTTCTTATTATTACTATTTTTTTTTTTTGAAAAATAAAACCAAAAGGACAAGATATATTAGTATTAGATCTAGCCCCTTTTTCTTATTTATTGAAAATACACTCAAATGATTGATAAAATCATGACGAGGTATACATTATTCATATGTTAACATGTATTTTTATTTCATTCATTTTTTTTTTTATTCCAGTTCGTTTCACCAATGGATATTCATAATGATCTTTCAATGCCACATAAAGGTAAGTTATTAACATGTTCTTGTTTTGGTAAGAAATTAAATGGTGATCGATCATCACCGGAGGTTATTACTCTTGTTTTTTTTTTTAATTTAAAATTTTAATTTTAGGGCATTCAGGAGTTAATCAACTTGGAGGTTTATTTGTCAATGGTCGACCATTACCTGATAGTACACGAACACGTATTGTTGAACTTGCTCATAATGGCATGCGTCCATGTGATATAAGTCGTTGTTTACAAGTATCAAATGGTTGTGTTTCAAAAATCTTAGCACGTTATTATGAAACTGGTTCAATAAAACCACGTGCTATTGGAGGTTCGAAACCGCGTGTAGCTACATCTGATGTTGTAATGAGAATTGCTCAATATAAACGTGAAACACCATCAATATTTGCATGGGAAATTCGTGATCGTCTTCTAGCAGATAATATTTGTAATCCGGAAAATATACCAAGTGTATGTTTTGCTTTTAAATGAAATGAATATTCGTCAGGTTTTGTTTGACTTTTTTTTTTTTTTAGGTATCGTCAATAAATCGAGTACTTCGAAATCTTGGTTCAAAATCATTAGAATCAATGACTAATCATGAAACATATTATTCAGTTGATAATAAATTACGTGTATTACATAGTACACCATGGTCATCATCACCATCATCATTTTATGTTCATCAACCATCATCAAGTATTTATTCGAATAGTGGTGATTCAAATTCAGAATATAAACATCAAACAACGGATGTTAATCATGGTGCCCATCATGATTTAGGAGGTAAAATACTCAAAATATTATTTGAGTAAAATGAAGTCACAGATGTAAAATACATAGACCACCTGTTGATATTGATCGGTTAGTTAGAGAACAATTAGAATTAACTGCTGATGCCCTTAAGTCATATATCGAAGAAAAAAAAAACCTAAATTTCTTTTCTTAATGATTGATAAATAAAATAAATGATCAGACGGTCATCAAGGCGGAGTTATTCTTATTCTGATCACTAAAATAACAACAACAAATAACATCAGCAACAGCATGATTTTTCTTTTTTCTAGTTTGACATCAATGTTTTTTATCTATATACTAATTAAGAACAACATACACAGTAGGACAGACGGAAATTATGTTTAAATCTAATTGGATGTTTCGCTTATCTTAAAAACAATAATAAATTTTTTTCTTATTGATTCACGAACATATGATAAAAATTTCCTATTTATAAGATCTAAAAAAAAAAAAACTTTCTCATTGAAAATTGGACTCGGGTTTTTTTTTTTTGTTTCTTCTTCTTCATTCCGCTTTGCTGAACTCATAAAAATTGTCACTTCATTCTTTCTCGTCTATTTTACAGATGTTCTCTTTCCATATTCTGTCATGTTATTCCACATCGTTGATAACATTCTATTTTGTCATTCAATTGTAATGAAATTGTAGACAAAAGAAAAAGAATAGATTTTCTTTTTTTAATATTAATCTCTTGATGTTTGCATAAGACGAAAAAAAAAAAAAAAGTATAAGTGTATAAATTATATCATGATTTCGGCATCTAATTGAATATGTTCTTTTTTACGTCTTCATAATGATAAGGATGTTTCAATCATTGCCATAAGCTTCATCATCACACCAATTTTTTTTTTGTTCGATGATGATCAAAGAATTACTTACCTTTTTCTTTGTTGTTTAGATGTATCTGATGGAAGTGATGATAGCAAAATAGGTATAAGAGATGGTTTAAATGAAAATGATGAAGCTGTACAAGAACGTTTAAAATTAAAACGAAAATTACAACGTAATAGAACATCATTTACACAAGAACAAATTGATGCATTAGAACAAGGTATTCAAGAAAAAAAAAAAAAACAATAATAATAAAACAAATCTTTTTTTTTTCTATTGTTTTCAATTTAATTTTAGCTTTTAATAGTACACATTATCCAGATGTCTATGCACGTGAAAAACTTGCACAAAAAATTAGTTTACCTGAAGCTCGAATACAAGTAGAAATTTATTTTGATATTTATAAAAATTTTAATAAAATAAATATATATATTTTAAGGTATGGTTTTCTAATCGTCGTGCAAAATATCGTCGTGAAGATAAAGTTAAAGGTCGACGACAACATCAACAACAATTAATAAATGATATGGGAGAAAATATGCGACCATCAGGTACAACACCACCACTTCCACCACCATCATCGGTTTATCCTCAAGTATTTCCATCAAATAATCCTTCAATAACAAATGATTCACATCATCATCATCATCATCATCAATATGGAGCATTTAGTTCAGGTTTTAGTGCTGCTGTTGCATGTAGTTCAAGCGGTTATCCAACATTTTTTCCCAGTAAAGTTTTTTCTTTCCTAATTGAATTTTATACCCTAAAGGAATTTCATTTTTTTAGCTTCAACACGTGGTTATGATGGACTTAGTCCATTTAGCACACCTTATAATCGTTCTTGTTCAACTTATCCAACAGGCATTCAAACTAATCTATCTGCAGGTAGGTGAAGAGAAAAAAAAACTCATTTTTATATTTTTATTTGTATTAGATCATATGAAAAATATGTCGTCAATGTCAACGTATGGTGGTGCTCCACATATTTGGTATCCACCGATATTACCGTAAAGAAAGAAGGTATGTTTTGTCTCATGAGAAATGCTTGTGAATTATATCGTTTGATTGAAAGGTGATGATTTGTTAGATAAATAAGCGTATGAGGTGTAAAGAATGAAAAACAATTAAATTTTTTTTTCTCTTATTTTTAGATACGATTCGACGCGTCTCGACTATTGTGAACATTGATTTGTGTATCATATTGATTGCTTGTTTTCTTTTTTGTTTTTTGTTTTTGTTTTTTCTGTATTGTCGTCTACTGTTCTCCTGCGTCCTTTCTTTTTTTTTTTTATATTTTCAATGAAATAGATATGTGAGCTGCGCCTTGAATATATATTTGAAATAAGAAAGATTTTCTTTAACAAATATTCTACTCTGATATGATATACAGGGAATAGAAGTTTATTGAAAAGAGCATCGATATTAACTTTGAATTAATTTTTATGTATATGATTTACTGTTTGTTGAAATATATTGAGGACGAGAGAAATGAGTAGATCATTCCGACAATAAATATATTGTCAAAACAAAAAATGATTTCAATAAATGTTTCAAACACACTATTAATTATTTAGAAGGTCAATATTTTCGATTGGAAAAAAATGTAAATTTTCTACATTCAAACATTTACATTGCGATTGGTTTACTGCAAACAGAACAATTGTTAGCATCGATTGTAAGAATATGAGATAACATATTCCAATGTTTTTGAAAACTACTGCAATAAGATATTTTCAACGTCCATTATAAAGTTAAATAGATATCTTTCTTTGTTTTTTTGCTATTTATTTTGTTCTGATAATCTTCAAAATAGTTAACGAGTGTAAACCGATTGCTTGTATTTCTTTGGATTGAAATGACGCTCTTGATTGATGTCATATCATGATGTATAACTGTTGTTATAAAGCATAGTTAAACTAAGATCTAGTCAAAAGGAAACAAACTGATTTCTTTGATTTTTATCACTGTAAATCAGTTTTTATCTGTTCATCAAGAATAATTGACAATGTTTAGAAATAAAAGAAAATAATGAGATATCATTAGAAGCCAATAGAAATACTGACAATCATTGAAAACCAATAAAAAATCATTAAAACAAGCAATCAATATGATACACAAATCAATGTTCACAATAGTCGAGCCGCGTCGAATCGTATCTAAAAATAAGAGAAAAACAAATTTCATTNGCCCGAACAACACTATATTCTCTCCTTATAATAGTAGGGTAAATTTTTCCTGTAGCTCATGGAAACAGCTTTTCTTATCAACCACTAGGAAAATTAAATCCGCTATTATGAGGACAGAATATAGTGTTGTTCGGGCCATATGAAAGAGGGACCCTACAAACCCCATAATCGCCTCGAACAACACTATGTTTTGTCCTGATAATAGTGGAGAAAACCTTTCCTGATTCATTTTTGCACCTAAATTTAAAATCTCAATATCCCCCTCTAGGCAAGCCAACAGCAGCTAATATTTTAACCTTGTTAGTTTGGCAGTGAGAGCTTTCTTTTAATGCAAAAATATCTGGTCTTTTCAACTTACGACACAAACACCTCCATTGTGAGAACTTGTCAGGAATCTGAAGTGTACATTTCTGAAACAAATGAGACAATGTTTTAAACAATGAAAAAGCATGAGTTTGCTTTAGCTACTTTTCTATCTAATAGAGCATTGTCTTAATTTGTAGAAATTTCTCTGAAAAGACGTTTCCGACAAATTGAAGTTCTTACAGATCAGTACATGTTACCTAACTAGCTTCATCGAAGCATGCAGCATTGGGATCGAAGTTGCCAAGAATTCTATTAATAGTACTTCATATAATTTAAAGTGGGAGAATCTCTAGTAACCATCAGGATGTGGAGAGAGAAGAGGGAGGTCAAAACTTTTATCCTATACACTTCAAGGCTCCTTTCAAATCGTGTTTCACAAAACATTAACTCTAACATCTATTAGTATCGATGTATACGCATACCCGACAAAGAAGAACAATATAGTCTTACCAATATCAAGAGGAGAGTTTAAAGGCAAATTACCATATAGCCATTTTGATTAATCAGTAACAATCGGAAAAAGGCTAATGACCCTCGTGCAAAAATGAAACATGTAAAAGAAATTCATGTAATCAATAAATTTATACTGATCTAGTTACTCTTTATTTTTGTAAAAGATTGAGGACATTTTTATATGAGTTTATTTAGCCGGACCATAGAAATATTTCATATATTGTACGAAACATATTTTTTAATAATAGTATTCAGTAGTAGATATTTGCGATAAGATGTTTTTTTTGGTACCGGACCAACACGCACTCGGTAAATATGTTGTAGTTCTGATCGATATCTTAGTAACTTTTCTTTTCTGTTGCTCCAGTCCTAGTAGCCGTAACAGATCCTTCACATGTCTATTCAATATGCATTGAAACAATCTTTCATCTGAATTATTTGATATTCTTTTTTTTCGTGACTCATGCATATGCTATATACATTATTAGTTCTTATTAACATATGTTCCACTATGATGCTCAGATATTATTTTCTCGTCAAACTTATTCAATTAAAACTGAATAAAGATTTTGTTTGATTTACCTTTTAGCTCAACATTTTAGAATGTCAGTTTCTACTATAGTGAACATAAGACTAAATCTAGGTCGTTATGGTTTGTCAACATTAATTGTGCTCGGTAATGTGGGCAATATTTTAACGATCCTTATATTTATACGATCATTAAAAAATCAACTGAATTCATGTGCAATTTATTTGTTAGCTACTTCAATTACAAATTGGGTTTGATTAATACTGCACTTATCTCCTCGGTTTATGGTGTTGATCATGTTGATCCACAAAATACATCAATTATTGTATGCAAAGTAAGATCGTATGGTGCACAAATATTATTAAAGCTTTCACGAAGTTTTAGTAAGTGTTATCAACATATAGATAAACAAATGATGCTATTGCTTTTATTTTCTAGTGGTAGCTGCATGTATTGATAGATGGGCTTTGACTTCTCCATATGCTAGAATTCGATCATTTTGCCAACCAAAAGTCGCTCGTAATGTTATCATCGGTCTTATACTGATTTGGCCAATTATCCCAGTTCATATGGCTATTTTCATCAATAATTATTCTGGTCGTTGTGGCGCACCTTCTTATTATGCTTTTGCATTTTCTATCTACTTATTCATTTTTATTGGAATTCTTCCACCAGCTTTTATGATTTCATTTGATGCATTAACTTGGCATAATTTAAAGCAAATTCGATCACGAGTTGCACCTAGAAACGATCCTACTCGATTTCGTTTGGCCAAAGTTGATCGTGATTTGATAAAAATGTTAGCTGGTGAGGTATTGGTCTATTTAGTGACCACAGTTGTTTATCCTGTTAATACACTTTATGGTGTTATCACAACACCTATTGCACAACAAAGGAGTGAAATGCGATTAGCTATTGAAGATCTTGTTGAATATATAGTTAGTCCAATACCGAATTATATTTATTGCATTGCTCCATTCTATGGTAGAATCTAGTTGTTGACTTTCAATTGAAGTTTTGTTTTTCTATTTTAGTGCATTCAATTTTCTCGAAGAAATTTCGACACGACTTTATTCGCTTGATTCGTCGACAACCAGTTCTCTAAGTGAACTATGCATAAAATGGGACTGAAATATAGCAGGCCTCGAGTGAATGTAAATAATTTTATTTGAAATAAAATATCGACCAAAGAACTGGAAATAAAGGGTTCAATATTATAAAAAGAGTACAATACATATATCAACAAGAATAATAACAATAAAAAATAGCCAGCAATGAGCTAAAATGCACTTCTTTACTCAGAAATTTATGTTCCATTGATGGTATATAAAATTCAATAATAAGATATGGAAGACAAAAAAAGTCACATTATTTTGAATCGAGGTTTGCATTGGATTTCACCCAAGTCAGCTGCGACGGAAAAAAATGTTTAGTCTGTTTTCTAGCCATGCCGGCATAACAGGACTAGTCAGAGTCTCAAAAAGTCCTTGTCCGGGGCTAATCTGAAGCCAATTGCGAGCTTGTATCCCGTCATTACCGGACATCATGGTGTAAATATGGACTAGTCTTTTTCTCGAGAAAGACTACACAGGTTGGATTGACATGAGGCCCGCAAGAAAATGGTTTACCATTAAAAAAAAAGATTGCAAGGGGCGATTCGCATGACACGCTATAGTAAGATGCATTGGACTAGTCCAGATGAGTCTAAATCTAAATGTAATATGAAGATAAAGGCTACATTCGAAAGTACATACATTCTGTTATCTGAACGTCGTCCGGACCATTGAACCATATAATCGAAAATTCCTCTTTTCTTTTTCGCTAAACAGTAGCAGACACGGTTTAAGTCACACAACCCCCCTTTCCCTTTCCCCAAAAACCCGACGCCACCTTTTAAACCCCCCCCCCCCCCCCCCCGCCTCAGAAAATCCATTTTTTGGTAAAGTAATCGAAGTCGAGTTTTTATCATAGGAAGATGCAGCGAAGTTTCCTCTTTCAGAATATATATAAATTTTTTAAAAAAGGTCAAATTTTTACAGACTTTTGTAGGAGATTTTCACCTCACTACCCGGTTTTCGGAGGGATTTTCGCGGTTTTTCTTATTTTTGGGAAGACTACTTTTTTACTTCTATCAGCATGGAATAAACATTCTTATATCATATAGTACGACCTGTAGTGCTAGCTTACGCCATCTATTGCGTGCTTTCAAAAATTTCACATAAATATTATCAATATACCCTTATTTCCTGCATTTGAATGAAAAACTCCATTTCTAAAACTTCTTTAGCGTTTTTCTCAAAACATGGTTTCCAGACAGGAAAATTGAAATAACTTCCGCTTGGCTCGTGGCTGTCCCTGATGTTTTTTTTATTTTAAAGGTCTTGACAAGAGCTAACTTTTGATCGGACGGATTTTTTATACTTAACTCCTGGACTAAGAAAAGTTGGATTTACTGTCGTCCGTTGACCATTTTTAGG